TAGGTCCTGTGTCATACCTGCTGGACCCATCTGACCTCTCAAATGGTACCAGATGCCTAAGGAATGGAAAAATTAATACAGACTTTGGTGTTTACGTTTAATCAGATGAACCCCATTCACATGGTCTGTGTGAACAACCATGTTTTTAGCCACAAATTTCAAATTCACATGGAAAAGGCTCAGTTTATGGAGCACTTCCTAGATCTGTGCTTTCTGCAAAAAATGTAATTGCTAAAGAAGTGAAGAAATTTTTCTTCAATAGGAAGAGAGAGTAAGTGAGATCCATCTCCCTGCCTTGGCAGGAAGGAGGATAATGAGGAAGTATAAAAGCTCCTTTACCCCTTTCCAACACTGTCTGCCCTTATTCAGGGGCACAAGGAGGCACACATGTGCTCCTCAGCACTATGGGCTGGTGACTTTATGGTGCAAGCACACTTGGAGCAGGATCCACATCAGCACATTCTCTAAGAAGGGCTGCGGAAATACCAAAGTTGTTTTGCACGAATCCCTAATAATTGTAATGTGTGAGCATCTCAGAACATTTAATGGGCTTATCTTTACAACATTTCCATAAAATAGAAAACTATTGGTGAGATAACTCCATGTTTTCCTCTCTCTCTCACTACAGTCATCTACTGCTATAAAATTGTCAGAGATATCAGCACAAGCCCTGAAAACAGGAACACTCCAAGTGTTCAAGAAACTGCCTGAACACTTCAACTGTTCAAGACAGGACATCAGAGCAGACTGATGCTTTAGAGAAAAATAAGCAAAAACAAAACCAAACCACTAAATTACATCATACTCCACGTTATGGAATACTTCATGCAACATAAAAAAAAGAAATTATCTTTGAACTTTGCATTCATTTTAACACTTTTACTTTTAAAATTTGGAAAAATACCTCTTTGTTTAAAACTCAACATGAACAGCTAGAAGGATTTATAATGAATCAAGCAAAGTTAAAAAAGTATATTATTAGGTTAAGTAACAATTTTTTGGACTGATGGATTTATAAATTACAACAGAAGAGGGATCGATTTATATTCATAACCTTTCTCAATTTTAGCAAGCATTAAAATTAAAGCTGAGATCATATTGACTATAACAGCATGGTTAAAATGATTCAGAGTCAATTTCAGTATGATAATTGTGACTAATGCTAAATAAATATTATATTAATCTAAATATAGACCCTGAGTAACTGGAAGGTACTCACAAACTAGCCACTAAAAGTGAAGGAGCATCTGTTTGTACACTGGTTTGCCAGCTTCTGTCACTCACTACAGATGGACAGACAACTTCCTCATCAGGGAGCTGATAGGTGCAGTCCACTTTTACTAGGTTTTTTTGGCCGAATTTGGAAGCAGCACCAAACACAGGCTACAAAGAGCCTCAAATATATGCATAATTTTACTTCAGATCTGAGAAGTGCAAAATCTGTGATGACCCCAGAATGTTATACACTGGCAGAGCAAAAAGGATTCATCTTTGCTGTTGTTTGTAGAAATTTACAGAGGCAAATTAGCTACTGAAAGGCTCCTTGTTTTTTCCCTGAGTGAATAAAAACTTGCTGACAAGCACAAGGAAATAACCACAAATTACTAGAATTCAAATTTAATAGTTAAGAAAAAAAGAAATATTTCCATTAATTTACTGTAGTAGTCATGAGTACAAAATTTCCTGTAATAATAATCAACCACTTATTAGTATTTAATAATATTAAAAAACACTACTAAAAATGATCAGAAAAATAACATATTAGTGAGATTTGTCACTGTCAGATAAGGAAAATTTATTTTAATTTGGCTACCTATTAAAAAACAGTCACAAGATCAGACATAAAAGGGATCCAGGTAAAGACAGCACAATTTGAGTTAATTAAGCTCCCCTTTTTTAAATCTGTTCTCAAATTCTGATGCCTCGCTATTTGAGACTCCAGAAAGGAGATTGATATATTTCTTTCATTCTTTACAAAATCATTCTTTTTATGTATCATTATGTTCTTCAGCTAGATATAGAAGCCTGTCATTATCTTGCAAAAAGACACAAAGCCTTTTGGAAAAGGTAACAGTATTTGAAAGAGATAAAACAAAACTTCAGAAGTTAATAGACATGTCGCTATACACATATTAATACACATCTGTCTACAGGCAGTATGATTTTGAACACTTATTAACAAAATTAAATGACATTAAAAGTTTTCCTTATCACATACAGTAATTTTTTAGTTTTGTGACTGAAGACTTTTAACATTTTAGCCAAGTATTAAAGAGAATATAAATTCAGCTTCAACCTACAATGTTTATTTATTGTCCTGCTATTGTATCACTGGATGCAGCACTTGCATGTCAAATTCAGAGTATAACAGGGTGATGGAATGCAAGTATTTCTGCCCTAAAAGCCAAACAGCACAATTCAGTTACACAGAAAGGTAAAGGAGAATTACAGAGGAGTCCTTCTGAGTCTTAGGTTACATGACTTATAGAAGCAGGCAGTCATATCATAAACTGCTCATGATCCATTTAAAATTTTGTTACAGCTTTTGGTTTGAGAATTTTTGCATTTGCCACTCCTACTGGTAGGTTGTTCCAGAAACTCACCATTTTGGTAGTCTATCTTCCCACCTCCAGCATTAGTGTATTCATTGCCAGATTACACTGCCCTATGCTCTCTTTTCTCCTACAACCCAATTGAAACCAATGAAATTAGTCAAATACATAGAGCAAATTAGAAGTTCTTTAAAGAACTTGTTCTTAAAGCCCATGGCTAGATATTTAAATATTTCCCAGGCACTGAGCACCTATTCAAATTATTTTTGACAGACTGTTGGTGATTGGACTTGTGCCAAAACACAAGAAAAAAGACCCAATATTTAATGTTGTAAGGGTAATAACTTTTTAAATACTCACAAACATGAAAAGAAAAAGAAGTAAAGTTTTAATCAATTTAATTCCAACATAACTATGCCTGTTCACAAATGATAATCACAGCAAATGCTTTGAAACACATTTCTTATTACCATATAAAATGTGCTTTACAGAATTATGGCTGGAAGGGGCTATTAAATCATTACCATAACAAGGTATGCAGACAAACCTCCTGGCATATCCAAGATCATAAATTCACCTAATTACTGCTGCATTAAGCCTCAGCAACTGTATATGGCTAATACACATCTCCAAGGGTAAAACCCAAACTTGTTCAGAAATGTCCAGAAATTGGAAATACAGCACTGGCTTTACATGTTTGCTCTGGGAGTTAAACTAAAAAAGTACTTTAATTTTGTTTTGAAGGGTCTCACCTCAAATCATTGCTTAAAAATTGAAAGAACACTACTCCCATTGTTCAACTTCTATTTCAAGGTGGTTCTCTGGTTTGAATCCTCCTACAGTAGAATACCTGACTACAGAACATTTTCTGCTTGTGTATTTCAACTTCCCAAACTCACTACTCCACTGTTTACATATCTAATGTCACTTATACACTTTTTACCATAGGTTTGCACTGGGCAGTCATGTAAAAAAAGCCTTTTAATCTAGTGCAAAGTGAAGTTTCGCTCTCAAGTCACTGGTAAACATTCACGATCTTTATGCTCTGACATGCATTAATCCTTCCAGGATTTGGTTGCACTAAAATGAATTTTGTTTGAACCAATTCAGTTCACAGGTCACTGTATTAGACAGTTTGACGTAACCATTATCTATCATTTCACCAGTCATTATTCCTTCTGCTCCCTAAAACTGATTAATCATTTGCAAAAGGTGTAATCACCATCTGTATTTTTGGGACCAGATTCTACCACCAGATTCTTATTCAGGTTGAGTTAGACTGTCTTTAAGAATGTGCATTGCTTTTTACAGTAACATGTTATATTGTGCAAATAAGTCTGGCAGAGTCTGGATCTCAAAATGGAAAAAATTACTTGCTTTTATTTTTTCTGAGCTGTTCCATTTCTAGCAAACTCACCTGTATCTCTCAAATCAAGAGACCAACGGAGTTCATGGAAAAAAATTGTCTAAGTGTTTACTTTGATTCACTGAAGCCCAGTATAATAAGCTGATGCAAAACTATTCTATAAACACTGCACAAAACATTAACAGCATGGGTTTTGGCGTATATGACTTTTTTTTTTTTTGAGGCTATATTTCTATAAATTTCTACCACTTACTTCAAAATAGATGTAATTATTTCCATAACAGACAATAAATATTTAAACCAAGGAAATTTATCCCTCTCCACCACCCCGATTCAAAGATACTTCTTTCAATTCCAGACAAAAGAAGAAAAGAAAAAAAAAAAGGAAAAAAAAAACCCCACCTGCTATTGAGGGACAAGAATCCTTTGAAAATCAGCATGCCAGATTTGCAGCTAAAATATATCACCCTCCAATGAAAAATGCATGTTAATATGAACAAAGGTCTTTGGATAGCTCAGGAGGGTGGTTACTGACTGGAACACTGTCACTGAGATAATTCAAACAATTTGATTATGAAGGGTATTGTGTTTCTGAACGACTTCCTATGTAAGCCACTTCTCACACCTTAAAGGAAGCCAGAGGAGAAAAATACTCTTACTACCATCTAAGAGCTGAACAACCAATCACTCAAACCCAGAAATATGTGATGGTAGAAGTCTTTTTAGTATACTTCAGGCAATATTCTAATCTATTACAACAGTGAGGTCGTTTGCAGTTCTTTAATCAATTATGATTGCGTGGTTTCCCAGGAAACATTTATACTCATTATCTGATTTGTTACTCATTTCGGTTACAGTTTTCAAAATTTACAGCTTACAGCCACAGTGTGCTGTGAATTACAGTTTTGTTTTATTCTGTGCTATTTCCTATAGTCTAGATATCATTGATGATTCAATTAAATCACATGGTCCTTTACACACACACAAACAAAAAAAACTATTAGAGCATAACAGATTTCCAGATTCTAATTTTCCTAGTTCATCTGCTTAAACAAGAAAGAAAAATTATCCATAGTATTTACCTGTAGAAGGCTGGAGGAGCAGCTTCCCTCATTCCAAAGCTGCCCTGATCATTTTCAAGGTAATAGGGTACCTGTTGGCTGTGATGATGGATGAAGGGTGAGAGCTGGGGTGCCGTTTGCAAGAATACCACCGGGCTTGGTGGGACACTGTTCAGCGAGTGAAATCCTGCCAGACTGCTGGACCCAAAAGATTCAGAAGTAGGGGCGTAACTGAGCGTAGTAGAGCTGTACACTGGAGCTGTAGTACCAAAATCATAGGTGGCACCTTCTGGGTAGTTAAAAACTCCTGTCTTGTTGGTCTCCACGTACATGTCGCTGAGCGATCTTTCCAGAGGAATCTTCAGCTGAGGTCTGCTGAGTGTCTCCAGTTCAGTTCCTTGAATCTGGTGCAGCAGGGTAACTCCAGAGGTTTTGGTGTGAAGGGTCATGGTCAGTGCTAATGGCAGTGAGCAAGGAACATATCTGCTTTTATTGTCAACAGTGAGATCGGCAGCTGGCAGTCCACCTAAAAAAAATACCAGAACCTATTCTGAGGCTCAGCAGAAATCATAATAAAGCAGCACTACACAGGTATTCATTTAATCTCGGCAAGGAGGAGGATACAAACAAACGCAGAGTGAGCACGGAAAATGCACATTCTCTCTCTCTTCCTCCCTCCCTCTCCCTCTCCCTAACTTTTAGGAACTCCTCATCTGCGCTAATATGCATTACAAGGTATTGGCTGCGAGCCAGGAACCCTTGCCTTGTGCCGACATTGGTTTAAACATCACTTCAGAAACAATTAGTTTTGGAGTTATACCAAATAATTGTCCCTCTAAATGTTACTTAATTCTTACTAATTGTTTAATTTTTCTCTTCAGGGTACAGCGCTTTGCAGCAGCTAACGGGAGAGAACACTTAAATCTAACCAGGAAGAATAGTCCAGTGGCAGGCAGATTACTGCCTTTTTTCCTTAGCAGGCTCCAATCTATCTGTGCTTATCTCTCCTTCTGTTTGATTCATTTTCATGTTTGTTAGAAATATGTAATGTGTACATTGCCACGACCCTGGGTAGGACTATGCTGTAACCAAGATAGGGCAAAGCAGAATGTGTGTGTGCAAGCGCGCGCGTCTGTGTGTCTGTGTGTGCGTGCGTAACAAGCCTCAGTCAATAAAGCTAGCTAACAAAATTGAAGAGTGTATGATATCTATGCACAAGAAAGGATTCATAATATTTTTTCATCAGCAACAGCAACTCGCAGTTACTAGTATAATAGTAACATTAAAAAGCAAGGAAAAGCTTTAGACTAGCCTAGAAAATTATGTCTCCTTCTTTTTAGGCTGTAAAATGATGAAATAAACATCATTCAGATGTTGCCACAGTTAGGGAATAATTATTTGATTTTGCGACACATGAATTGAACACAGGAAATTCTTTTTCCTAGTCCTGTGAACAAAACCTCAGCAAACTTGAATTTTGAAATCAGACTAGACAATCAAGTAACCAAAAATAATCAAATGGGACCAGCTTTAAAATAAACTGAACTGCCTCTGAAAGTTATATTTGGAAAGAAAGAAAAAAAAAAAAAAAGGAAGAGCAAGAACATAATGAAAAGGTGTGGCATGCATGCTTCTTCTTGCAATCTCATTCCATATAATTTTAGCTTCGCACAAACCAGTTCTCCTGCACGAGCTAAATGAAAACCTCCAGAATCTGTTTCAAGTTCTCTAGCTTTATTGCTGTGGTCTGTGGTTCAGTCAATTAAATAGGTTAATGCCAACCCTAAATGCATTAATATATGGCCTCCAGTTAGTATGCTTTGAATACTAGCAAAGTCCATGTTATACTTAAACTACTCCACAGTTATTTGGCTCAATCTTCAAAAAAACCAAGAAACTGAAAAAATGAATACGCAGCTCGCTAAAAGCTTCAAGAAAAGTCTACTAAAACTGATTTTATTTTGGTAATAATACTATGTTTTCAGAACTTCTACTAAAATAGGTTAAGTTATTTATATTTGCAAGATTATTCTGAAGCAATATACATTTTTACCTTTGCAGGCACACAGCTGAGACAGCAGCACACACATAACTATGTACTTGATCTATTTCCTCATCCCACCAGCCACCCTCCCTACCCTGTTCAAATTTCAGATCGTAGACTTTGATCAAAGAGATAAGCTTGTTTAAATAACACTGGACTAAACATGTTCCCAGTTAAAAAAATAATAATCAGACAATCATACCCAGCAGTTCAGAAAGTCTTCGAAGGGTTATTCTGAAAGTATGCCAGACAGTGTGAGAGAAAAAAAAAGAGAGTGTGTGCATGTTCTCTTAGAGTGGGCGACCGTGCATCTGCAGAGACTCACAAAACAGCAAGTAAGCAAAGCTCTCAGCCGCCAGGCTGCAGGGCTACACAGGCTGAAATGAATGGCAGTTACAAGTTTAAAAGTCAGCCACTCTTACACATTTCATTTCATGCTTCATAATACATAGAAGAAGGATTTGCTCTTATTAAGCTGCATATGCTGAGAATTAATGTGAATCTGCCTGCCATAAGAAGTATATACTTCTATTGTGTGCTACAAAATGGACTTTAAATTTTTATCTAGCATTATCCAACATGTATGATATGTTAGAATTGCTACACTGACATGCAATAAAATGCTCCAGCATAACAGCAATGCAGAAGACAGAAGTGTGCAAACAGAGAGCTGACTTCTGAGTGTGTCCTTTGCAATCTCAGTGCTCCTCGCACGCAATTTTTAAAAACCTCACTAATTATTTTTTGGGGCATGGTATGTTTTCAGGGAGACAAATATTTAAAGTTTCCATCACGTGCAAACAGCATTAAAAGCACTGTGGGGTTAACTTGAACCACCATCACTTCTGCTCCGTACCATTTAAACTAGGGACCCTATGAGCAGCTTTTCACAAGCCAAAGTCCTCTCACTAAAAAGGGCTCATCAACAGACAGTTGCAGTACCTGCACAGCACACAGCGTGGTACACATTTCAAAACAAAAAAAAATGTGAGTACCACCAACAAGATCTTAGGGACTGGCTGAGAACCTCTGTGATAGCATCCTGTAATGTCTGGCTTACTTTTCCTGTAGAGGAAAAATGAGAGAGCAAGAAAGTGCAAGCTGAGGTTGTTGGTTAATCAAACCAAATCCCATGAAGAAGTTGATTATTTTTGCATATTGAAAAATATATAGGTTTTTATTCTGCTTAGTATATATGGGATTTTTAGATATAAAAAAAAATTATGAAAGGCAACAAATTAGAGGGTTTTTTTTTCTTGTCCTATGTGATATAGACCATGCTGCTTGCTCCAAATTAATACACATTGCTCTCACCCTGCTTCAGAGATGGCATTAGATGCATCTGTCTGTGGACTCACCTTCCAGAAAAATGAGATCTAGGTTTCTAAAACCTGGTATTAGGGTTTAAAGGTCAGGACTTACTTCACCAGCCAATTTGATCACTCTGATCTATTACATGTCAGATTTTACATGTTCTAGAATATGACAATATTGCAATACGGAAATGTGTACCGCATATACCAATATTAGTTGGTGCTTTTTAGCACAAAGTTTACGTAAAGATTTGGTTTTGCACTTCATGTATGCCTTTAAAACTATGCAGATCTCATACAGAAGGGCTTGCCTCATTCATTGTTTTGTTGTTTTTTTTTTAATCCCGTGTAGTAACAAGAGAGAGTAAATAAAAACATGAATTGGCTGCAGCATCTTCATTTCTAGTGCTAGACAGATGTGTTCAAAAATACTTAGTCAACAGGAAATCTACCTTCTCAGATCTGGTAATTTCTCCACTAATGTGCACCCAACTGCAGACATGCTGTCCTATGTATTCCTCTTACCTTAATGAAGGTCTAATATTGTTTTGGAGTTGCTGATCACATACTACAGGAGAAAGACATCTATCATAGACACATAAAAGTAGAGAAAGAGCAACTGGTTCTACAGATTCTGAAGATTTGCTAAATTTATATCAGAGATAGATTGGGGGGTTTACTATATTTCTGAAGTTTGGGAGTATGCAAATAAAATCTGGCTTTGATCCATCCAGATTTCTGTATACACAAGAAGGAAAGAGAACAGCATTTAAGGAACACTGAAGAAATAGGAGGGAGCAGTCCACTGTGACTGAGAAGCACTACACACATGTTGGCAAGGAAGGTCAAAGCAGAAATTGCATCTTCATACACAGAGATTTTTACTGAGAATTAGTTGAGGTGAAAACAGCGAGGATTCAGACACTACTCTTCTCATGGAAATGAGAAATATATAGATTAGATAAACTGAAGTAGCTGATTAAAACCTTTGTTCCCCTTTTTAAAATGGTAGCCTTTCTGTTTTACTTGTCTAGATAGGCCAGAGTTCCAGTGCCCAACTCAGATTTTCCAGAGTATGGAATTTACTCTAAATTACACTAATAAAATGCCTAGTGGAGTGACATCAAAACTTAATCATATTTCTACTGCTCTGTGGTTAAATTAGCATCATTTACAGCTGAAAAATATTTAGATAAGTTTCTAAAGGCAAATTTTGGTTATTGTGATTCATTGATGAACAGTTTGCTTCTAGTTTACTTTTTTTTTAATTTACTGACAGACAACTAGAGTGATCAGATTAAGCAGGCAGACTTAATCTGCTAAATTGCACAGTGCATTTTGGCTCAACTGGACCATCTGTCCAACACTTCAGAACCGGAACATAACTTAAAAAAACCCAAAAGCGGCCTACTTCCACTGGCAGCAAATATTGTGGCACCAGCAAAGCGGTCTGGGAAACAGAAAAAAGGAAATAATAGACAATAAAAAAAATGATAAAAATATAACTTAACAACTGGAAGGAAGATGGGGAAATTCCAGTGCCACAAGCATCAGCAATTTGCTATTAACTACAAGTCCTAAAAGCCATTCAGGGCTGTAACAATAGGAATAGATATATTTTAGAAGAAAAAAAAAAAAAAGAATAAGAATAAGAAAGGGCCTGAACATATTTTGTGTTTTGGACAAGATAAAACAGCAGTTTGAGGGGAAAAAAAGATTAAAACAAAAATACTATACAAAGTCTATTAAAATTATAGGAAAAAATTATAGAAAACTCCATTCTATAACAGGCATTTTTTAGCACTAGCTTTAGTAAGTATTGCAACAAAAAATGGTAAACTAAGAACTTAAAACATATACTATAAATTTTCCATAAACCTGCTGACAGTGAGAGACCATAAACTTCGTCACTTTGGTTCCACAGCCATAAAGATAGAAGCTTTTTTTAGCTGCTGCAATTAAGACTCTATTGCACATAGCAGGAGGAACATTATGTTTTTCCAAGATTCCACAGTAACATTACAGAGAAATTGTGTTGTCTTTAGTCCAGTGAGGAAACTCCTCAAGATAGACAGCTGGAGAACAGCACCACCTACCCCACAGCTTTATAATTCTCTGGGGGAAAAAAAAAAAAAAATTAAAGCCCTTGATACCACTAGGCAAACAAGA